TGGCAGATTTTATCGCGGTTGAGCAAGAAAAGGGACGTGGTGGGAATTTGCAGAATTGTCGTCCGAGCTCCGATTAGGGGGCAAAATACCATTTCGGAAAGGGAACGATGCCACGAGTCAAACTCACAGCTTTGCTGTGATGTACGATGGATTTTGGCATTCTGGAGTCGTTTGGCCTTTCAAAACTGCATTCAAAGTTCGAAGTTAATTCCAAATAAATTCTGTTTTTCCGTTTCGGAGTTACATAGTTAATTCCCAAAATAAATTCTATTTTTTTCAGTTTCGGAGTTACGTAGTTAAGTCTCCGAATTAATTCTGTTTTTCAGTTTTAATTGTAATAACTCCCCTAGCAGTTACAAGGGTTGAAGTTGTGTATTTAGACGGGTTCGTCTAACGTTTTTTGGCAGTTCAGATTTTAATCAAAATTAATCAAAGAGAGTTTCTCTTAATTTCTGGTGGATTCCAGTTTCCTTGTTACTCAAGGTTTTCGTTTGAAACCTTATTTGCTTGTGCTGCGTCAAATCCACTGAAAAGATAAAACAAAAGATGATAGTGGCTTCCTGTCTAAATTTATGGCCACATAAAAGAGCCCAGTTGAGGAAAGGAATAACCAACATGGGTATAGTCTAATGAAAAAAGACCTTAACTTATGGGTGAGTAGTTTCAGATTCGAATCCTTTTGACATCTTGACAGTGTGTGTGAGAAAATTCTCCTCTCCGTTCCTAACTTTTGACAAAATAAAAAGAGAAAAGGACAATAATAATAAATAATGGCAAAAATGAACAGATAACAAAGACCAGAAGCCTAGCCACCTAATCCTCCTCCCTCCTTTAGACACCACAGATTGACGGGCGCTCCTCCCACCTAACCTCGTCTCCAACAATGCTATGTGTGGACTAAACTACCCTTCCATCTATCCATCCCTGAACCAGAACAGATGAACAAAGGATGACATGCCACCACCAACCAAACACCAAAGACCAAAGACCAAACTGTAGAACAAAGGAAACCACCGAAGGCCAGAGAAGGAAACTAAGAGCATAGATATATACCACAATTGTAACAACATATACACTGATATATATATATATATATATATATATTTATATATAATATATTGATACAGACATGGCTTCCCGGTCCCAATCCAAGCCATCATCAGCACCACCTCCACCATCACCGCGGTCAAAGACGGAGGCTTTGGATGTTCCCCTTCATGAAATTGGGTTCGAGATTGAAGAGGTAACCCCAAAAAAGGTCTCCGGTCACCTCCATGTCACCCAAAAGTGCTGTCAGGTCATCATCTTCTTTCTTTCTTTCTATCTTTCTTTGTTTGTTCATATGATGAATCTTTTTGTCTAACAGAAGATGTTAATGAAATAAGTAATATGACTAACTCTTCTTTGCTGCTGAGACCAGCCTTTCAAGGTGTTGCATGGAGGGGTATCAGCTCTCATAGCTGAGGCTCTAGCTAGCATAGGAGCCCACCTGGCCTCTGGTTTACAAAGAGTGGCTGGGATTCACCTCAGCATCAACCATTTGAAGCGTGCGGAGCTTGGTGACCATATCTTTGCTGAAGCCACGCCTGTCAATCTTGGCAAAACCATTCAGGTTCCTCTGCTCTTCACCGTCGCATTCCTATCCTCCTTGGTTTTTTATATTTTAATCTTTCATCAATTTATCATTTCATTTACTTAATATATTCAATAAACAGATTATATCATTCAAAATTGTTTTGATTTGGCAATTTTGGGCAGGTTTGGGAGGTGAGACTGTGGAAGATTAATCCTTCAAACTCAGACATCAAGTCCTTAGTATCATCATCAAGAGTTACTCTTTTATGCAACATGTCTGTACCAGAGCATGCAAAAGATGCCGGTGATGCTCTAAAGAAGTATGCCAAATTATAAGTTTTGTTGTACCCTATTCATGTTCAACTCTTTCTGTTATTGAACCAATGGAGAAATTAAAGACACTTTGATTTGTAGCATTATAACTAGCAATGGTGCCCGCGCGATGCTGCAGGTTTTGAAATTGTAAGAAAATGTGTATAAAGTCGTGAAAATATGCAAGCAAGATGATACCATTTATATAACCATGGAGATCTAAATAGTAGGATCATGCTTAGTTTAGCAAGCTTAAATTACAAAAAATAAACTAACATGTTTTACGTGCTGCTTGTTATTTGAAAATATTGGGCATATTTTAATAAATTAAGCAACTATAAAACATCAAAATATGAGCAGTTTTTAGCTGTTTATTGTTCAAAAGAGTTTGAACAGGTGTTTATATATATGGTATTGGGTGGTGGAAAGGGATTCCTCTACTTTGATGTCTGTTGGAAGGGGATTTAGGTCTTGTTAGCTCTGCTGTGCAGGTGACTTAAATTCTTTCTCCTTCTTTGCAAAAGTTTTAGCTCTGTTGACATAAATTTGGAATCCGAAATCTAATTCTCCTCAATCCAACACCTCCTCAATTTAATTCATCCTCAATTCAATTTCTCCTAATCAAATAACGGATTAGTAAACATTAGTGTTACTTTAGAAAATTTAGTATATTTAGTGAAAATTAGCTCACCTCATTCCAACCCCTGCATCTACTTAAACCGAAAAAGAAACATTTATAGCTCACCCGTATGAAAGTTTTTGGTTCCACCCTGACTACAAGTCGCATGGTAATTTATATGGATACCTCTTTTATGTAGTTTCATTTTGGGATTAGAATTGTCCTCGGAAGGGCTACAGCTCATTGCATGCTCCAGAGAGTAGCGCATAATTGCTCTGTCGGCGGATAACTCAAGTTCAACCAAGTGAGTTTCCAAAGCAGAGTTGAAGACCAAAGACATCAAATTTCTACATTGCCTCCACCACCTCTCACTCTCTTCCTATATACTCTCTCTCTGCTCTACATAAATTCTCTCCCACTCACTCACTCACTCACTGTGATTTCACACACACACACTCTCTCTCTCTCTCTCTCTCTCTCTCTCTCTCTCTGCTTCGCAGATTCTCTCACTAGTCACTAGAACTGTGGGGGGAGTGGAGGGAGAGAGAACTTCAAATACCATATACCCACTGGAGGGCTCATCTCTCTAAAGCTTTCACACCATTCTGTCCCATTTTCAGGTTAGCTATTTGATCCCGGTTTTCACCTCTTACTATTTTCTCTTTATGCATTGTTCTTCTTGGCATCATTTTAATGTCATTTTTTGGTTTTTTGTTTTCTTCCCACTGTATAATAGCACAAGATCTGTGCTTGCACTTGCTTTTTCTTTTATGGGCTGTGTGGAAAAAGAGTGTGATCTTGTTTTTGTTTTTGGCTTAAAAGGTTTAAGATTTAGTTTTATGGGCTTCGGATCAAGGGATTGAACATTTTCGGATCCAAGAGGGCAGCTTGATTTAAGGCAATGGATGATTGATAACTTTCTATTTTGGACTGGAGGTGGTAATTCTTGATCCCCAACTGAGAAAGAAAATGAAAAGAGCTACAGATTAGTAAAATTGTAACGTTTGCCTACTGGTGATGTTAATCCTTAATTTAATCCAATCCCATACTTTGGAATAGCAATGACAATGGATATACCAGAAAGTCGCTAAGTTTAATTTAATCCACTCCTTCCTTAGTTCATTTAATCCTGCTGTGATTGCAAACTCACTCTCTCTTCAACAAATCTAGTTGCTGCTTATTTCTTAAAGTCCTTAACCATAAATGTATGCGTAGTTCATAGCCTCTAGAAACTTACCGTATCCCGAATCCGTCATGTTTCTCATGTCTCAATCTTGAAACGGTGATGCCATCTGGATTTATTTTATTATCTTCCTGGAAATTTTGTGTCAATTTGTTACTTCTCGGTACTGATCTGATGATATTTTCCCTCTGTTTGGATGAAGGAATTGAAAATGACGGAATTTAGATTTCTATCATTTTAATTTCTGGCAATTGAAGATTTCTGTGTTTGGATTTATGTATGTCGAATTTTGTAAATGACATTATGGAAATTGTGAAATGAAACCTATTTTGGTGGAAATTAAACTTGGGAATTTGATGCCCCAATTTCCACAATTTTTTCCGCACATCATTTAACAAATTCCGCACTTGTGTTGCCAAACAAGGGAATTGTCAATTTCTCCTCTTAATTTCCCGACTTTTAGCTTAATTCCAAGTTATTTTCCCTCATCCAAACGGAGGGCGAATTTGTGCTTTCATTATTGGTTGAAAGTAGAATGAGTGCAAAATCCTCTGTAGGTAGGTTATTTACCAAAAGTCGAGCTGATTAAAAGTCTGATGTATATCAGACTGCAAATTTGTGTAGGAGAAATTAACCACACTTTGGAACAATTAATCAAGTTATTGAGATATGTTATTTATTTATAACAGACTGCAACGTGCTAATTATTATTTTTTCTTTAAGCATACTTATTCTGTCAATTCTCAACTATTGACCATTTACTTAAAATAATCGACTCTAAGTTTTCTATTATTAGTGCAGGGTTGAGGGAGTTAATTGCGACAATATCATGGAATCTAAGCATAATTCTTCAGGAAACAGAACAAGAAGCACGATATCTATATTCGTTGTTATTGCTCTGTGTTGTTTCTTCTACCTTCTTGGAACATGGAAAAAGAGTGGTTTTGGAAAAGGAGATAGCATAGCATTTCCAGTAACCAAGCAGACAGATTGCAGCAATGTCTTTACTAATTTGAACTTTGAAACACATCACAATATTGAGGAGATAGTTGAACCCTCTGAACCTAAAGCCAAAGAGTTCAAGCCTTGTGATGTTAAGTATGCTGATTATACTCCTTGTCAAGAGCAAGACCGAGCAATTAAATTCCCCAGGGAAAGGCATTGTCCACCAGAAGAAGAAAAATTGCATATTGTTATTCCAGCCATAAAGGATATGACTCCTTTCCCCTGGCCTAAAGGCCGTGACTATGTCCACTATGCCAACGTCCCTTATAAAGGCCTGACAGTTGAGAAAGCTGTTCAGAACTGGGTGCCGTTTCAGGGAAATGTTTTCAAATTTCCAGGTGGAGGAACAATGTTCCCCCAAGGCGCTGGTGCATATATTGATGAACTCGCATCAGTTATTCCGATTTCAGATGGCTCTGTCAGGACAGCATTGGATACTGGTTGTGGTGTATGTTGGTTTTCTTAACTATGCTTGTGCTTTTATTTTTGCATTTGCATGTGTACATTCCTTGCTTCACATTGCCATTCTGTCATTTGCATTTAATTTGAGTGACTTAAATTCCTTTAGTCAATCCATGACTTTGAGTACAACAATGGCTTTTCAGTCTCCAGAGAATGTTAGGTAGATTTGCTTGTGCGTATAGTGAATGCAAATGCACATTCAATGATACTGTGTAATATATATTTAGCTAAATCATGTATGAATGTAAGCAGTGAGCTATCCTAGTATACATGTTCACACACAGTTCTTTTGTTCATATGTGGTTCTTTACGAATGAGACCAAGCATGATACATGTAATGTATTAGCCATGTCCTTTGCACCACGGGATAATCATGTAGCACAAGTGCAGTTTGCATTGGAGCGAGGTTTACCTGCTGTTATCGGTGTGCTTTGGATCAATTCGTCTTCCATACCCATCTAGGGCCTTTGATATGGCTCAGTGCTCTCGGTGTTTAATTCAATGGACTGCAAATGGTAAGATCTCGATGTGACCAGCATTAAGCTTGAGTAATCACATTTGATTTCCTTAGTTTCTGATTATATATATATATATATATATATATATATATATATTAAAATAGAGTTGAATTAGTGAACTCTTAAGTTGAATACAGATAGTAGAAAAACATATCCATATCTATTTCCATACTCAGATCATATGGTCAAATTAATTGTCACAATCTTGCCTCGACTCTCAAGGTTGACCACTGAAATAAGCTTAGTGTCGTTTGGTAAACATTTATACTTGATTTCCATTGGTATAAATGATTACTGATTTGCACACTTTCATTTTGAAGACTATTTTTCTATGTAACTTCATGTTTTCCATGAGATTTTATGCCAAAAAGTGTAAATAAGTCTTACAAGGGTGATAAATTGTCTGCACGTCTTACATATCTGGCAATTAATTTAGTTACCAACCCTGCTAAAATTTTATTTTCCCAAGTTTTGTTTTGGTTGATATTGACTTCCTTAATCCATCCTCATCTGTTGACTTCTATATAAAAGAAGGCTTCTGATTGTAGTCCCATCTTTTACCTTTGTTTTCCATGTTTCGACATTCAAGAATAGTTTATTTACTGAATATCTCTGTAAGTGCTGGAAGTTAAATGATTCACATATGAACGGCTGTGTGTAGATGGGATGTACCTAAAAGAAGTTGATCGGGTCCTTAGACCTGGTGGATATTGGATCTTGTCTGGACCTCCAAGTAATTGGAAGACATACTACAAAACGTGGAAGCGGTCTAAGGAGGATGTCCAGACAGAGCAAAGACAAATTGAAGCACTAGATGAAAGTCTTTGCTGGGAGAAAATGTATGAGAACGGAGATATGGCTATTTGGAAGAAAAAAGTTAATACAAAATCCTGCAAAAGCAAGTGTGTCAATGTATGCCAGACAGAGGATGCTGATGATGTCTGGTGAGTACCAGGAACTGTGCTGAGGAGCCTTGTTTATTGTTCTTAAATAGTCACTAATCACGTTTAAAGATAATCTCATGCTTCTGGATCAAGTCTCCCTTGCCTCTAACTTGAGGTTTGGTAGATTTTTCCAGAAGTGGGACATACTCAGTTAGGGGAAAGAGGCGCAGGACTTTGCAGCAGGTGACAGGTCACAGGATAATGCAAGGAAACCCTTTTTGAAAACCTCAAATTATATAATATGAAGTAGCTGTTGCTGGATTTCCCTGTCAATATTTCTCAAAACAAGAAGTAATCAAAGAGAAAAAATGTAGTGAATTGGTTACTGACTATGGTTTCAACCAACAAATCAGTCCACTTATCTAGGAAACTGTTAAACATAACATACGTTTTACAGACAGACATGGTAGTCGAATTGGCATGTTGCACATATTCCACATTCCCACCCCTCTGTAAACGTGATGTGCTGGTTGCATGCCTCCAGTTTGTGAAAAGTTTTTCAGTTAATGTCTTTGTACCTCTTCCATCACTCGTTACTTTATATTTGTAGACTGGAATTTTCTTGTGCCCTGTCCTTCTGTAGTTATTATGTTGGTCTAGACAATAATTCTGTTTTACTTGGGAACACAAGGTAATTAAGCCCCTACCTCCCATTGTGTTCTTGCACACACTTTGGTTAGAAGAAAATCTTGTGCTTATGAATTTTATGTTAGTCAATGCTATGGAGTCGACAGTAGAAGTTGGACTGGTTTTTATTGTTTGAGTTGGTCCCCTAGTTCAGAATTACCTAAAATGCATTGATCTAAGCAGAATGATTGTATAGCTTTAGATTCCATTTATTAGAGTGAACACTTTCTCTTTTCTACTTCGCTTTTATGTTATTTTCCCCCCTGTCATTCTATGATTCTAGTAATTGCAAAGATTAGCTTCATTTCCTACAAGTGTTGCAATTATACAAGGCGAGTTCCCTTAGATCAGTGATGAAGTTTCAGTCTATTTCTATCTCGCTTGCTCAAGTTCATTTGGCCGTCCTTTTTTCTTCTTATTTTCTCCATACATGCATGTCCTATTCAATTCTGATAAGGGCATTTTTGAAAGGATGTATTCCAGTTCTAGAGTTAGATTGTTACAGCAATCATAATTCTTAGTTTTATGTGGTATGTTTCAGGTACAAGAAAATGGACACATGCGTAACCCCCTCTCCTGAGGTTACCAATGCAAATGAAGTAGTAGTGGGGGCGTTGAAGTTTCCTGCGAGGCTTTATGCAGTCCCTCCTCGAATAGCTAATGGTTTAGTTGACAGAGTTACTACTGAATCTTACCAAGAGGATAATAAACTTTGGAAAAAGCATGTAAATACTTGCAAAAGAATCAACAACTTGATTGTCACTACCAGATATCGGAATGTCATGGATATGAATGAGGCCTTGGAGGATTTGCAGCAGCCCTTGATCACGAAAATCTTGGGTTATGAATGTTGTGCCTACAATTGCAAAGAACGCTTTAGGTGTTATTTATGAGAGAGGTCTCATTGGCATTTATCATGACTGGTATGCCCCTCTCTCTCTCTCACACACATAAATTTGCCTTGTTGGAAGTGTATCAGTTTCCTCCGGGGCTTGTTAAACGAACGGCGAGATTCCCACGGCGCCAGCCCAAATGGAAATCGACGGCCCCAAACGAATCCCGAAGACCGAAGCCGTGCATCCCATGGCTGCCCCCCAACCAGCCCAACCAAGCTGGTTCGAAGCTGACGATCGTTCTGTGGAAACGAAACAGTGGCGAGAGTTAGCATCCAAGGAGAGGGGTAAGAAGGGAACATAAGGAAAAATTTAGTAAAGGGCAAAATCGACAATTTACTATTCCTAAGGAACAGATGACAAAGACCAGGAGCCTATCCACCTAATCCTCCCTCCTTCAGACATTACAGATTAACAGGCGCTCCTACGACCTAACCTCGTATCCAACAATGCTATGTGTGGACTAAACTACCCTTCCATCTATCCAACAATGCTATGACAGTGGACCCTCCAGATAAATAAAGGATGACATGCCACCACCAACCAAAGACCAAACAGTATGTCATATGATATTCGCCATCTCCAATGCAAAAAGTCTTCCCACCCACTCTCATCCAGGAAAAGCCAAACAAACAACAGCCAACAATGAATGGGAATTGAATTGCTTTGGTTCTATCATCCATACAACAAAGGAAACCACCAAAGGCCAGAGAAGGAAACTATACACATATGGCTTCCCGGTCCCAATCCAAGCCATCATCAGCACCACCACCACCACCACCATCACCATCACCGCGGTCAAAGACAGAGGCATTGGATGTTTCCCTTCATGAAATTGGGTTCGAGATTGAAGAGGTAACCCCAAAAAAGGTCTCCGGTCACCTCCATGTCACCCAAAAGTGCTGTCAGGTCATCATCTTCTTTCTTTCTTTCTATCTTTCTTTGTTTGTTCACATAATGTATCTTTTTGGGCTGAAAGTCTAAAAGAAGATGTTAATGAAATAAGTAACATGACTAACTCTTCTTTGCTGCTGAGACCAGCCTTTCAAGGTGTTGCATGGAGGGGTATCAGCTCTCATAGCTGAGTCTCTGGCTAGCATAGGAGCCCACCTGGCCTCTGGTTTTCAAAGGGTGGCTGGGATTCACCTCAGCATCAACCATTTGAAGCGTGCTGAGCTTGGTGACCATATCTTTGCTGAAGCCACGCCTGTCAATCTTGGCAAAACCATTCAGGTTCCTCCACCGTCGCATTCCTATCCTCCTTGTCTTCTTAATTATAATCCATCTCCCAGGCTCCTAGTCCTCTCCAGTCTTCATGATGAGGACATCTTTGTCAACCATTAGGGTTTACAAACGAAAGAGATGGAAGCGGGAATTATTAATTAGTTTCCTAATTTATTTGTTAGTTCCTAGGTTCTCTAAGTTTTCCAGATTCATTAGGATTTTTAGTTTTTCCAGATTTCAGTGCTATTTTATTTGGATTAGGATTTCTTTCGTAAAATAAGTTTACTATGATAAATACCCCTTCTATGTAATTCATTATGAGAGTTGACATTTGTGTATTGAGTAAAGTTTATTTTCTAGAGATTGAAGATTACTTGGTGTGAAGCCAAACCCCTGGAGAGATTCCAGACCTATCCCTTTTGTTCTATTTTCTGTTTTCCATTGTTTTCGCTTCCGCTAAACTACATAAATTCTCAATTCACCCATATCCTACATCACTTCATCGTCAAGTATCTCTTCCAATTATCATTTCATTTACTTAATATATTCAATAAACAGATTATATCATTCAAGGTTGTTTTGATTTGGCAATTTTGGGCAGGTTTGGGAGGTGAGACTGTGGAAGATTAATCCTTCAAACTCAGACATCAAATCCTTAGTATCATCATCAAGAGTTACTCTTTTATGCAACATGCCTGTGCCAGAGCATGCAAAAGATGCCGGTGATGCTATAAAGAAGTATGCCAAATTATAAGTTCTGTTGTATCCTATTCATGTTCAACTCTTTTTGTTATTGAACCAATGGAGAAATTAAAGACACTTTGATTTTAGCATTATAACTAGCAATGGTGCCCACACGATGCTGCGGGTTTTGAAATTGTAAGGAAAAGTTTATAAAGTAGTGAAAATATGCAAGGAAGATGATACCATTTATATAACCATGGAGATCTAAATAGTAGGATCATGCTTAGTTTAGCAAGCTTAAATTACAAAAAATAAACAAACATGTTTTATGTGCTGCTTGTTGTTTGAAAATATTGGGCATATTTTAATAAATTAAGCAGCTATAAAAACATCAAAATATGAGCAGTTTTCAGCTGTTCATTGTTCAAGAGTTTGAACATGTGTTTATAGATATGGTATTGGGTGGTGGAAAGGGATTCCTCTACTTTGACGTCTGTTGGAAAGGGATCTAGGTCTTATTGGCTCTGCTGTGCAGGTGACTTAAATTCTTTCTCCTTCTCTGCAGAGGTTTTGACTCTGTTGGCATAATTTGGAAAATGACAGGTGTTGTGTATATAAATGAAAAAATGTGGGCGAGGGCAATAACTATGATGACATAATTAAGTTAAAAAATTGAACAGGCCAAACAACACTCTAGATGCATCAAACATACTATTAATCTGATGGACAAAAGTATGAACTCAATCTATTGAACCAATCGAAAACAAATGCAGAACAATTGTGACAATTATTAAATAGGTATAAGAGAATTAAGCCAAAAGCCAAAACACTTGAGCTTTGATGTTCATTTTGTTGCCATAAATTTGGTAAATGATAGGTGTTTGTGTAAACAAATGAGAAAATTTTAGTAAAGACACTGTCTATTGTTACAGAATTAAGGCTAATATAAACTGCACAAATCAAATTTCAAATAACCTATTGTTGAACCAAAAAAATTCACCCAAAAAAAAAAAAAAATCGAATATGGGTTTGATCAAGTGGGAGGAAGAGTCCAATTTGAACGAGGATTGTTCCATCTCAAAACTCTTTCTGGCAATCACTCTATAAAAGGCAGGAGGGTTGCAGAGAAAAAGAGGAGGGCAACCGGCAGGCTGTGGAGAGATACCAGAAAAAAGAATACAAATTTATAAATAAACTCAATCCTGAACATGTATTTATAAAAAAACCCAAGCACTATTTAAACATAGAAACACACCCAAAATCAACCCCAAAGTCAACTTTTTGGGTGTGTTTATAAATGAGTTTTGAGTGTGTGTAATGATGAGTTTTGGGTGTGTTTATATGTTTAAATAGTGCTTGAATTTTTTTTTAATTTCAACCCCCATTTTGGGTGTTTAAGTGAAACTCCCAAAAAAGAAAGGCCACAAGGCTTGAGGAGCAGCAGGAACAAAGAGGAAGAGCAAGCACATAAGAGGATTCCTGGCTATGGTGACTTCTATCATCATAAAAAAAAAAAAGTTAGGAATCTCTCTATGGCAAGGCTCTGTTCAAAGACTTCCAAGGAAGCACTCAACATCCAGTACAATCAACCCATGGGAATTCTTGGCTATGATGTTTGAAATCATCACAAATTAAGTCAAGAATCTACTCTAAGGCGTATCTCCTCTCAAATACCTTCATGACATCCAGCTATGGATTGACAGCCAAGATGATTTCAATCATTTATGAGATCAAGTCCTGATCTACTCCGAGGTGCAGCTCCTCTCAGACGCTTTCAGGATGTGCTCAACATCCAATTCACAAGCACTCTATAAGGATTGCTTATCATGATGGGCTAACCATCACAAAACCAGAGGTGGTTTGTGGTGCCATTAACAGACGTGGAGAAACTCCCGGAATTTTCTGGGCTTCTCTTACTACAGCCAAATAAATGAAACTGGCAGTTTCAATTCAAGAAAGTGAGCCACTTCGGTTCAACACCTTTATTTTTTGTGCATCGTCAACAAAGTTCCTCCCTGGAAGTCTCTTGCTTGGATCCAGTTTGGGTACAAAACCCACAAACAAAACCATGGAGGGGTTTAATCTCACAGCAAATAAAAATCAGCCCACGTCTTGCTTGAAGTCCTCATCTCGTGCTTGTCTGTATGCCAACAAAACGAAAAAATGGGCAGCAGAGAAGAGAAAGAAAGGAGGCCGCAAAAAGAAAAAAAGTCAAGAACAGCAAAAAAAAAAAATAAAGGAAAGAAAAAGTGGCTGTACGCCACTTTTTTTGTTTGGGTTGCTGGTTTGAAAGAAGAGAGACACCAGTCAAAAGCAAACATGAGTTAAAAAAAGTGGTTTGCTTCAGCCATAAAAAAAATGGGAAAAGCAGCCATGTTTCTTTTTTTCACTGAAGGAAAGCTTCAGCAACAGACAAAAAAACAAGATAGCCATTACGAAGAAAAAAGAAAAGTCAGCAAAAGATAAAAGAAGAGGAGGCACATCTCTTTGGGGTCTAATCCTATTCAGAAAAGGGCCTGTTCTTCTCGTGCCTCTTGTCTTCAAGCCCGACAAAGAACAATATGGCCTATCCGTACTTCATTGGGAGAAGGATTTTTGTCCTTGGGTGTCTTGATGAAATTGAAAGACATCTATTTCTAGCACCAAGCCGTGAAGGAACCAGATGGAGAAGGGAAAGGCATTAATCGAAAATTAACTGGCGCAGTGTACACCACTTTCAAGGCCCGGCGGTATTAAGCCAATATTCCAAGACTCGACAATCTCAAATACAACGGGCTCGTCTCATGCCCAACGATTTTGTCCATTAAAAATCCAGTTGGTGAATAATTGGTGCAAAGTCATGAATTCTCAAACTATGGATCAATGGGCTAAAATAAGAAAAGTCCCATTAATTCCCAATGAAGACCCAAGTGGTACAAAACCACACCAAAGGACCAAGTAGTACAAAACCACGCAAATTAAATCAAATGTCTGGAACTACGTCGGTTTAATCCCGTCAAGGGTACGTAGGCAATCTAGCATCCCAATAGACGCAACAGCAACCAAATTTAAATTCTTGGTTTATCTTAACCAAATTTTGCCAAAACATTTTCCCAAGTGCAATTGTCAATTTTAGGAAAAATTAATGGGATAATTAAAATTACTCATTATTTTTCTTAGACATTAACAACAAGAAAAGTTGTACAAAATCATCCAATTTTTCACGGGTCATCTACCCATGCAAATTTCATTGAGATTAAATTCAAATCTCTCAAACAGAAATTCTCAATTAGTAGGTCACATTTACCCATTAATTTCCAATTTCTCCCATAGGTCATCTACCTGTTGAAATCTCTAAATTGTCTCAAAGACACAAATTCTCAATTAGTGGGCCACACTTACCCATTAATTTCCAAAATTTAGAACTATGCCGGTTTGATCTCATCAAGGGTACGTAGGCAGTCTAGCATCCCAATTGACGCAACTGCAACCAAATTCTCATCAATCAAATCTCCACACAAATCATTTGCAAACTACGTTGGTTTGATCCATTTAAAAGGGTACGTAGGCAATCTAGAGATTCAATCTAGGTGCAACCATCCTAAACACAATTTCATATCGAATCCCTAGTTTATTCAGATAAATTCACTCAAACACTCCTCAATCAAACTCATTCACATTCCTCCCTTTGCAATGAGTCATTTATTCATTGCAAATATTTGAACTACGAGTGGCTTGATTCCCGCAAGGGATACGTAGGCACCTTGAGGTTGGACTTGGGATCAACTGCAAAACCAAACACACACACTCTGTTTCTTTATGATGGAATCAAAGGGTTTTCCCTTGTAGTAAGGGATTGTAATTAAAAGACTTGCGTCTCGAATAGGTCGAACCTAAAATAATAAAACCTCATTAATTAATTAGTGGTGGTGAAATTATGTTGAGAGGTTCACATTTTCCTTCAAAACCTAACTTGTTATAGAATCAAGATAATCAAACGGAGAAGTAAGCTATAGAAGCAGTAATAATCTATAAACAACTATAGGTTATAGAAGTAGAATAAAGCAGAAATAACATGTTATGGGTTATAGTTTTGTTCATTACATCTAAAACATCTAATAAGGATTGTGAATCTTATAATTTGGGGGGTCTTTTTCGTTTCTGTTTCGGTGAGTATCTGTGGTTGAGCCATGCTGCTTCTCATGTCTTTGTTTGTCACTTCCATCCTTTATTTTTCATTAATTAATTCACTTGACGTTTATAGCACCCACCTTGAACAACAGAAGCCCTTTTTTCTAATAATTATGGAGGGCAGATGATCCAACAGCCAACGTTCTGATAATTATTATTCAGCAGAAAAAAAAATAAAAAAATAATAGTATGGGACTCAATGCCTATCACCATGACTCAAACGGCTTGATCTTGGATTCTTGGTCCTACCTTATTATGGCATGTGAGATTTTACTTTGCTTGGGGTGAAGTCTCCCTTTTTGTTTTCTTTTATCTGAAATTTATTGTAATGGGAATCTGATTTTATGGTAACAAAAGTGCTTGTATATTTTTTATACAAATTTATAAATAAACCCAATCCTAGACATGTATTTATAAAAAAGCCCAAGCACTACTTAAACATAGAAACACACCCAAAATCAACCCCAAAGTCAACTTTTTGGGTGTGTTTATAAATGTGTTTTGAGTGTGTGTAATGATGGGTTTTGGGCGTGTTTATATGTTTAAATAGTGCTTGGGTTTTTTTATAATTTCAACCTCCATTTTGGGTGTTTTAGTGAAATCCATATTTTGTTAGGATTACGAAGAAATGTTACAGTCTAATCTAATGACTAGTTTTTATATGGTGATATTTCTCTTTCTAATTTAAAAATATATTCTAAATTCAAATCTACCGTACCGACAAAAATGATTTTACAGCCCTAGAAGCCCGAATTATAAACATCAAACTGAAGGTTAGCAATGAGTCACTGCCAACTAGTCTTTGATTTAGTGATAGTTATTCCCACTTAATTGGAAAGTAAGTCGCAGGTTCTATTCGCAATAATACAAGAACAATATATATATTTGCGGTGAGTTCAATACTTAGCTAGTCACTTTGTGGTAGTGTAGCACAATCTCTTTTTGTTGTTGGGTGCGTTATTCGTCAAGCAGAAAATGTTCATTGGAAGATTATAACTAACCCTTCATCGAACCTAACGGTTTGATTAGAATTTTTTATTCGGTTCCCAATTCAATACGTCTACACTATTTTCTTTCATTAATT